ATACAGTTGTAAACATTTTTTTAATAATATACTATAAGACAGGACACTAGAGATTGTTTTGGGGATGCTTCTCAGCACTGAAGCATTAGGATAGAAGCAGATATCCTGGCACAACAGTATTTATCCTACTGTGGCTCCTTCCAGGCATGGGTCTGTTACCTGCACCAACAAATACTGACTCTGCCCACATAAGCTRCAGGYGACACAGAAGGTTTGCAGCTGTAGACATGCCAGCTGACTGCTCACAGCCCAGGCTAGGCCTGCAGGCACTGCGTGTTGACAGAGTCTAAAGCAACAAATATTTTGCTCAGTAAGGCCTAGGCAAGCTTTGAAATTCAATTGCTCTTCCCCACTGAATAGAGTGCAGGGCTTTTCCAGTAAGTGTATTTTCTTGTGTTTTAACCAATTTAGTTTTACTGTAAATACTCACAGACTCTGAGTCTCATGAAAGTTTACCCAATGGGTGAAATAAAAGGAGTGGTGTTCACAGCTATTGCTATAAACTTCAGTTTAACTGCTCTTTCCTCAAATTGTCCTTCATATCCTTCCACCTTTGAAAGCAGTATCTGTCATCAKCTTTTAAACATGGGATTGGCCTGATACCTATAACAGAGTTTCACTAAAATATACACGGTCTGCACAGGTCTTTTCACAGGTCTCAGTCTCAGTACAAGTAGGTTTTTTACTCATCACACATGAGTACAAAAGCACCTTGTAAAATGACACTTCTAGGAAAGAGTATTTCTGTTTTTTCGCTTCACAGTGAGTATCGAATGAAGGCAGGAGATGCATCTTGACTAGGAACACAGCATGAAGCCTCCGAGGTTAATGAGACCTAATGTGACTATAATATTTAGAGAAAGCAACTGAGGCCTCATTTTTCCACCCTTCTGCCTCCTCAGGAAAGACTCATGTAATCTGCAGACCCAGGAAGTACAAAGATGGCTTGGATCACAATCCATTCAGCCTTCAAACCAGTGTATCACTATGGATACGCTTTAGTTCTGGTCTCCCACTGGCCCGAAATGTCTAACGTTTCCCAGCGCCCTTCCCAGGCTGCAGCGGGAGCGGCTCCTTGCTCCAGGCCGGGGCTGCCCGCCATGGAAAGCAGGCGGCGGCCTCGAGAGACGGCCTGCCCCTCCGAGGCACCTCCAGCCACACACCCAGCCCCCGGCACCAAAGTCGGCTTTAAGGGGTGCATTTGGCAGTTTTCCCCAGTTCCGCCAGTTTTCCAAGTCTGCCCTCTTGTACAGGAGAAGCCAACAGGCCTGACCATGCTCTGGGAAGCTGGAAAGTCCTGGGACACCTGAGCAGTCCTGGGAGGCTGTTGAGAGGGTGGTCYTAGTGTTTTTAGTCTTCTATTTGACATCTTTCTCTGTGCAATTACTAGTTTTTGCTTTATTCTAGGAGAAAAAACAAATTAATCCAGCCATGTGACACTATTTCTCCCATGGTTGTTGTAGACCTCCTGCTCTAACAGAGCACGAGCGTGTGCTCTATTAAGCACACAACTGSAAGCTCTTTGGGACACAGCACGTCATACTTTTCTGTGTTGGTTTGGGGTATATGTCAACACGTTTATTCTTTGTTTCATTGTCTGTGTGCACATGCTCTGTGCTTGAAAATACCATGCTACAATCCCTACACACTGAATAAAACATTATTAATTACAGATTTGCAAGTATAGTTCAACTGCCTAGTTTTTTCACAGAAATAATCCAGTGGGATAGTCAGTATCTCAGCATAATCATCTATTTCAAATCTTAATTAGATGTTCTYAGCTTTTTTTTTTTCCTTCCATATACTTCTAACATAATCTTTCTGATTCAGAAGCTCTGCAGACTTCAAAAGTGAAGATTAGTTTCACTAATTATTGAAAATCATATCTATTGGTTGAAGCCACCAATACGGTGTCTCAACAGACATGTAGCCACTTGTTCAGTACATTTTGACATACTAAATTTTTAGGCTTTGTGGTTACCATTTTACATGGAAAATCTTCTGCTAATAATTACTTTTACTGTTAGAGGACAAGGGCTTAAATGTACATCAGCTTCTCATACAGGATAGGTTTAAAAGACAGAACAGAAGAAAATGCAATTTCATTTTGACAAAAATGCTAAAAGTCAACATTGTAGAACAGCAAAAGAAAAATAAGAAAGAGAAAGAGGCTTCRAAAATAAATTATGTGATTATAAGATTAGGTAATTATAAGATTATCAACTCTCATTTGCTTCTATGGTATCATTATCAATGTGTTACGGATACGAAATGCAAC